GCGCAGTATGTTTTTTCTGTGGCAGCCAGAACACCTGTTTTCCGGAAGGATGCGACACATCCTACACATCACAGCGAGCCACAGAAAAATCAATCCAAAGAATCGCAAAATCAGCGGCATCGACCATTAACGCGAGATTAGATCAAAAAACAACAGTTGACAATGGCTGTTTCCAAAAATACTCTTCTCGCTGTACTGTTGTTAGCTCTGAACAATAATGTTGCCGCGTTTGTGCCGGTAACACCAAGGGTGAGTGTTCTTTGGCTGTGCGAAAGCGTTACAAGTGTTGATGGTGGCTGTATCGAAGAGCGTCCAGTGAGGTGATCGTCGCTGCTCACCTCTCGTTGAAGCTACGAGAAATTAATACCAGACATGTCGACAGACAGACGAAATGGGATATGAGGGTATTTTTTCTACTTGTTCTTCGGTGCAAGTGTACTTCAGTCTTTCATCAACGAACTTGACAACGATTCTGTCTTTTTCGCCTCCGTTCCACCCATGCTAATGAAGACTAGGCATCATACGTTTTGGAGTTTGCTCGAGTTGTTCCACCAGCATGGTTTGAATTCCGACTGATGAAAATCCCGATGTTCCATGGGTCGTCACACGGATGGATGCCCCGCTGGTTGGATACGTCAGTGTACTGACACTGTCGTAGACCAAATACTGTGCTCTACACACATCAATTTCTTCCGATGGTGACCGCGTACCTTTGTTTCTTCTTGTTCCTGACGCGTAAATTCGAAGTGTACATACGCATACACTCCCCTCACGTGTCATATCTTGCTTACTCATCGTTTGCTGCCCCACTTGTCCGTTAGGCCACTCAGCTGTCTAGACAACAGGCCCCTCTGCCCGTCGCCCTCGACATTGACGAAGTATCGGCTGAGGATGATTCCATCCCTCCTGAAGACTATATTGTTAACGTCGGCGACCTGGAATCCGAAGACGACGAGGACGGTATCTCCGACGATGGCGAGCCTCCATCTTGGTACGCATCTGCGGAACGTATTGCTGCCCTTCGCCTCGAACATCGACGACACGAGGGAGACACTGGCAGTCCAGAATACCAGATTGCCGGCATGACCGAGCGCATCAACTATTTGACTTCCCACTTGAAGCTCCATCCCGGATTTTTCGACCCGACGCGGCCTTGTCGCCCTGGTCAACAAGCGCCGTCGTCTCTTGAACTACCTCTACAAACAGAATGCGGATGGCTACAAGGCAGTCATCGCGTCTCTTGGAATCCGCCACAAGGTTCCTGGACAAGTTGAGGACAGGAATGAAAAATTCAACCGCTTCCCAAGCCAAAAGGCTATCAAGAAGCATTTGATCAAGAAGAAATAAACTTATACTACCTGTTAAAGAAGCGAACAAATTGTGAGATATTCATAGGAGTAGGTATACAATTCTTATTCTGTGATTGTCACGTATCGGATGGTCTAATCCTAGACTAGTAGATGTATCCATTTGCTGGAATCTGGTCGGTCCAGCACAATTATCAGCATATTTTCCGAACTGATGACATTCCACATCCTTCTATCTCTAACTTCCAACCCTTCTCATAGTACTTGGACAGCACTCCCAGTACTTCGGAGGATTCAAAGATCTGGCACCATTCCCGTCGCCACACATTAACGTTTAAACACATTGGGAGCACACCACTACCGATACGGAACACCTACCACTCCTACAAAAAATTCTCACGGAAAACCATTCGATGGATGGGATTTTCCTTCCAGTAACATTCCAAACAACAAAATGGAGCGTTGTCATCGTGCCAAGACACGGTGGCACATGTACAGTTGTCATACCTTGCGCCGCAATACCAAAACACGAACACCACCCGTGGACTCCACGACGCTTTTTTCATCCTCCGACAGCGTTGCTGCCAGTTCTCGTTCCAACATGGTCCCCATGGCCGTGTCCACGACCAACGAAAAGGATGACGATACAACTTGAGTGAATCCGTCCATTCTCCCTTGACGCCGAATCCGGAATGGCCACAGGTTAGATACAAAAATCGACCTCCAGGCTTTAGAACTGTACCAATCGTTTCCCCAGAACTCTCCAAGTTCCAGAATTGTACGTCAAGTCACCCCAAGACCAGATCGGCACAATCCGAATACTCCATGGCATTCAACAATCCCCAAGACAGTGTTGTCGTTTCGACTGTTGCGAAATCATGGTCATTCGTCTTCATAGTTGTCGTAGTGGCAGTATCAGGAGCATTCTTTGCATTCCGTTTGACATTTTCGGCGGCCAATGCCACCACGCTTGATTCCCATCTGTCGCCACCACCCGAGCGGCTCCCAATCGCGCGCAGGCAAGACTGACCAGGCCCGTCCCGCACCCCAATTCCAAAATGGTGCGATTGCGAATCCAACAAGAAGAAGAAGACGAAGAAGGATGATTATTATTGCTGTTGGTATCAGTATCATTGGTATTGAAGTCACAATCATCCTTGTCGTGTTGGGACAACAGAACCAACAGTCTCGTCAAGAGAAGTGCCGAGTTCCAAACGGCAACTCCAGTGCGACCGGGTCCGACTCCACTGTCATTGTTACCAGACGTCGTTGCTGTATTATCGCCATTGACAATGCCTTGTTGTATAACTATATCTTGATTGTTGTTGCCCAATGGAATAGTGCGTTCGGGACGGACATGCAAATGTTTTGATACGCACCAGGAATGGCCAATTCGGGAACCAATCGTCCCATTTGACAATTGTCAGCAACAAGACTTGATGTTGCATCTTCCGCTGTAGATGGGTACAGTGACACCCCATTGCTGTACCGCCAACCAATGTCGCCAAAAAAATCGTCGTTGATGACATGGCATTGGCGTAATTGACGGGATGGGAGACGGAGTAAAACACCATTTGTGCTTATTTTGGAGATGACTAAGAGCTGAAATGCGTCGTAATGACAATGATAGCAGTAGTAGTAGCAGCAGCAAAGTTGATGCCGCACGATTGCAGTTCTTCATTGCGTTTTTGTTGTTGGCATGCTATCAGCTATCAAGCAACATGAATCCAATTATATGATATGAACTATGAACTACCGGTAGTATGGATTGCTTTACAAAAGGATATGCATCGCGTCAAAGATATTTCAAACACATCACGCACATCACGTGCATCGTGCATCATATCATCTCCATATGACGTATCACGCACCACAGTTACAGTATCAAGTACCAGTAGCGTACTCTGAATTCGGATTACTAGAGTACTCGGAGTATCATCCGTACAATGGAATCTTGTTTGCATTCTTCCGCTCCAGATCTGAAGTAGGGCATGGAATGGATTCCGAGTTCCAAGTTCCGAGAATCGTATAACACTTCGTACTGAGCGCAGAGGTAGAATCGAGGAATTTTGGACGGAGCTGGTGGCTTGTTTTGCCAAACGAGTCTTCCGACGAGAGACCGGCTGTCACTGCCATCGTTGGAACTTGGAACAACCTCACGACCTTTCGCCATTAGCCGCTTCCAAAACACGTCATTGTTGTTTCATCACAAGCCATTGGATTCCATCAACAGTCCCACCATGTTATCTCTTTTTGCTCGAACAAAATCACTTCATGTAGTACTATCCACAGCAGCAGCAAATACAACAAGAACTGTACAACAACAACAACAATGTTGTTTCATCCGTCGTGGCTTGTCATCTGCGACAAACACCGACAAACCGAAGCCCTCGTTGAACGATTTCCGAGATTCGGTACCTCGGGAAAAGCGAATGAGGGAACCCGTGGGACGCTCGTGGTCCGTGGCGGAACTTCGACGCAAATCCTTTGTGGATTGTCATAAGTTGTGGTACGTTCGTCACTAGGTTTTTTTGAATGGCAAGGGACGTGTGGTGCTTTGTTGTATTGTTGTTGGACACGTTGGTACAAACAACAACTTCGTGTGTGCGTGCGCGCAGGACGAGGAATTGATGCGAACTTACTGATACCGCCGTCCTGCCATTGCACATTGCACTCCACGAAACCACAAGAAACGACACGAGCGCGGCGAGATCGATCTCGCGACGATGGGACATGACAATGTGGTCTTGTACTAGACATGTTTACACTTCATGATTGATACGTCCATTGCCTCTGCATGTTGTTGCATGTCACTCCATATTATATTACTTACTCTTTCGATTTGTGTGCCATCGTTTCTCAGGTACGTTCTCTACAAGGAACGCAACATGCTCTTGACGGAATTGAAATTATCGTCCCGAAGTCAACTTATCATGCCCCAACCGGAACGACTCCAAAAAGTCAAGAAAAGCATGGGAGCCATCCGGCATGTACTGGGTGAACGAAAGCAAGAAAAGCTGGCGGCCGTGGCATTGCGTCGCGCCCAAATGGAAGAAGATGAAAAAGGAAGCGTTGGTGCTGATGATTCAATGTTGTTGTCGGACGAGGATGATAGTGACGGAGACAATCATGATGATGGAAAGAAAGCAAAGTGAGCATGATCAGCCAGCTGAATAACTTTTAGCATCTGAGCCAAAAAATGACGCTTAACGGCTTGGAAGCGGACATAGTTCCAACCAGTTACTTCTACTGCTGTTGTAGGCTTGTGCACTCCCGGAAGCAATCGACGTTATCCTTCACCGGCACATCTGATGACGTCCGTAACCATCGCCATGTTGCTTCAAGGGTCATCGATGAGCTAGAAAACTTATCTACGACCAGTTCGTTCATCCCTATTATAATAGGTTCTCTTCACTTCCTAAATCTGAATTAGCGGTCCATATTTCGAAGGAAAATTACCGATCCACCCTTTAAATCTTGATTGAGCCTCCTCGTCACATTCCTGTCGCCATTAAAAACCGATCTAACGCACCATCAATCATGCTATGGGGGTATAGCTCAGTTGGTAGAGCATTGGATTCCAGACCCAAAGGCCATCGGTTCAAATCCGGTTACTCTCATGTGCAGCGCAACATCTTTTTGTAAATTTTTTATTGCCAAGTTCATCAAAATTGTCATGGTTTGGGTATCGAAGGGGGTATAGCTCAGTTGGCAGAGCATTGGATTCCAGTCCCAAAGGTCATCGGTTCAAATCCGGTTGCCCTCATCCAAACTATTTTTGTTCCTCAACAAGTCCTTTTTCCGTCCCTCCTTTTAATTTGCACGCATGCACGGCTTTATCGACTCCAAATCTGCTGGACTCTGCACTGTACTGTACATACGTAGAGTACCAGCTACCATACACACGATACGTTTTTGTGAATACCTGGTACAAGTACCGGCATAGACGTACAGCTGGAAGCAGAACCGACAGCATGTCACGTACTCCAGGAGGTTCCGGAATTTCGGCTCTTTTGCCTATAAGTGTATACTACTGGCTACAGATACTAATTCTACAACTTCGTTTGTCACGCCGGACAAATATTCAACGTTCCATCACTTCAAATGTCCGGATCATTAGGTACATCAATCTCATGACGTGACAAATTTTGAGCTTCAACTAAAGAACTTGGGATTAGACTATGCGACAACGGAATCGACGTTTTATGAAAATCCTATTTAAGGATATTCGACATTTGAAGTGTCGGCAGCCATTGTCTCAAGAGCCGCTGGCTCAAGAGCCATTGGCTCAAGAGCCGTTGTCTCAAGAGCCAACGGCTGAACAACAGCCCCCGGCGATGTCAAACTCAAGAACACACGCTTTGTGTGTCGTAGAGCTCGTCCTCAAAAGTGCTCGCACTTTATGTCATACCACTCCTTGTCATTCGCTGAATGTATTCTCCTCATACCTGAATATTGTTTCGCAGATGCTTACAGAAAAATTTCTATGTGCCGAAATATATATGTATGAATGTATTCTCTTCATACCTGAATATTGTTTCGCCGATGCTTACAGAAAATGTAGTATTTGCCGAAATACATATGTATCAATGGAGACGTAACGCATACGCATACCATCGACCTTAGTAGATGACCTGTCATTTTTTTCCGTTCCCCGTGTGGCGAGTTCTCATTTAAAGAAAACACGTTCCTCGACTAGGTGGACGAGGTAAATTGGCTCTTGAGCCAGTGGCTCTTGAGCCAGTGGCTTAAGAGCCAATGGCTCTTGAGCCAGTGGCTCAAGAGCCAATGGCTCAAGAGCCAACGTCTTTTTTAAATATCCCTACATAGTACTAGTTCATCCAAGACATTGAATCAATGTCGTACTTGTCATAACAAACGATGTTAACAACAGTTCCAAAATAAAGCACGGTTTTAATTATAGTGTATCAACAGAAGATATTCTATCATTTTGGAAACGTGGAATTATTTAGATGTTTGTGGAACAAATTTCTGGTAGATAATCTGCGTAAAAGGTACGAGACACATAAAAGAGCCGAAATTCCGGAACCTCCAGTACCTGGTACTTGTACCAGGTATGATATGCGTCGTATTCAAGTTCATAACTGGTGCCATGGGTACTGGGTACTGGGTACTCATACCCTCATACTGAGATACAATGTGTTAGAGATCTACTGTCACTCTGTCACACTGTCACTCGTAATTACTGTAAGGTTAAATACCATACGGTAATACAGTAGACAGTCCTTTATTTTCCTTCGTCTGTCCGTGACTCGTGCCAGTAGTTCTGCGAATCAGAACTCTGGATCCCGCGACCACACAAGGAATTTAAATCATGTTGCCCTGAGTTTCCCTAAGTATTCAAATCTGTTATGTTGTCAATTTTATTGACAACACAACTTTTACTATGGGATTCATAACTCAAACACCACTCAACAAGTGGGATTAAAGCAACATAACTTTTGTGAGACTCCAACTAATATTGGAGATCTCACTTTCATTTTTCATCTACATTTTAACTTATAATTTCCACAAACCAAAAACAGTAAAGGCCTTTACTACTTAGTTCTACATCTTCTACATATTTGTAACAACAAATCTACCATCATGGTCCACATCTTCAGGACTCCTACGCCCAAAGCTGGACGATCCGTCACGTTCGCTTCCTCTCCGTCAAGTCCGACGGCAGACTTCTAGGTCCTACTAACCTTAAGTCTACCGTCGGCCAGTACTCGCGTACCGATCACACGAATACTGTCATGGTTGCTCGCCTCGTACCACCGGTCCAAGGCTCTACCGTCGAAAATACTCGACCAATGTCTCCGATCATTGGTCGAATCTACCTACGGCCGTTAAGAACCTACGCTTAACTGCTATTAATTTTCGCCTTTTGGATTCGCCAGCAACGGATTTAAACTCACCCTTGAAGGCAACAGAACTTTTTAAGTCCACCATGCAGAACTTACCTCCGCCCTCCCTTGCCCCTCGCGCCTCTAGGTCCGCCTCCAAAGGCGCTAACCCTGACGCGTTCGACGCTAACGTCGACTACCCCGCCGAACTCGGCGCATCTCCTGTCCCTCCTGACACGCCCACCCATCCCGCCCTCTACAAAGGTGCCCTAGCCTATGGATCTCCGAAGAAATCCAAGCTCCCCTCCCGTGTCCGTTACATCCCTTCTCCAACCACTACCCCTGATGACGATCAGGATCTCCCAAACAACAAGAAGAAGAGGCGCACCTCTGAGAAAGGTCCCGCCTATTTTGACGTCTGCAAGTTAACCTCCGACGACATCGATGATATTATTGAAGAGGATCGCAACCTCCACCCCGACGAGCGCAAGCAGCAGGCTTTTGCAGCTCCACCACAGCAGGACACTAAAGTTAGCCACAGGGCTACTTTACCACCAAGAAGGCTGCAAAGATGCAGACCACTACAACCACAACTACCATGGACAACTACTACAACAAAATGGGCGAAACTACAAACAAAAACGGTCCAACTACCTTACCTGCTGCATCTACCAATGTTATGAGCAATAACATTGGACCTACTGATGTTTTTACTACAGAGGAGCACACTACTACCGCCGCCAAGCGCCGCACTAACCCGAACGAACACAACGTAATCGATCTCACCGATGATACGAACGACTTGAAAACGCCCCAGAAAGCTCCAAATTCGCCTCCCACGCTCACCTACAAGTCCAGAGCCAACACTCCAAGCATTCCAACCGCAAAAGTTACCACCTTGACCAACTTTGCCCAACCTGCTCACAATCCAATTTTTCAAGCTCCCGGGTGCATGAATCCATCTGGCTTCTCCACCCTTCAGAAGACCTGCAAAGATCTCCATGACTGTCTCTTTGCTCATCTTTTTAACCTTCCCTTCCATCCTTCACCATCAAAGTATCAGCCTCCCTCAACCAGAAAGCAACAACAGTGCCAGGGAGAATCCAAAGAACCTCCCACACTCATCCACCCCAGTCATCCTGGCCTGGAGTCAGAAATCGCCACTTTTACCCACAGAATTGCTTCCTTCGGTTATACTCCAACCCTCACTGAGTTTACTGGCTTTCTACAGCATCATGAGGACCTTGAAGACCTTGTCATAATTGCCATCAAGATGACTGGAGATGAACAGTTGATGCCCATTCTTGATTTGCTCATCCTCGTTCGCAGCGTAATCGGGCAACGAAACTCACACTCCGTGCCGCCAGCACACCGTATGGTCGACATCCTGGCCAAATTTGAGCGAATTCCGACAGATGGTTCTCGAGAAATGACTGTTCAAAATTTTCCCTCGCCCCCGCGCGTATTGGTGGACGTCGACAACTCTGCAGCCTCGCGAACGAAAACTATGACGTGTCATGACCGCAGCGCTGAACTCGGGACTCGTAATTTTTGTGCCGAAACTCCAGATTCCGTTCAAACTCCCTTCGCGTCAATGCCACTGTCCCCCGACAACCGCCGTATTCACAGTCCGTGTTATCCTGAGACACCGTCCCCGCGTCCCAACGTCAATGACCATTCTGCCGATGACGCATCCACTCGACCATTTTCCCAGCCCGCTTCGCCTACCGATGACTCGTTTGATATCGACCCTTTTGTCCACTTTGCACCACGCGGCCCCTAACTGCTGAAGAAAAGGCCTTGGAATCGTACTGTGATGATGATGATACTGTCGAGTTTACTGTCGTGGACGGTACGGCGATCCAATCCAGTCCACCCCAGTGTGCCTACAGAGCCCACAATCCCACTGATCCCAGCCTTTCCTCCACTTCCTTGAGTGTCCAGCATCCTGTTCCTATCAAATTGGAAGATTTACCTCTTCCCTGACTCTGATTGTGCTGATGTTGGTGAAAATTATTACTCCCCAGTGATAATTCACCAACTAAGCCATCTGTTAACTTTACCCTGCTTCTGACCCTGTTCCTGACCCTGAAGTCTTACCAGAAGTTGAAATCATGCCAGAACCCATGATCATTGAAAGCATTGAAGAGGAATTTGTGGAAGAAAGTGCAACTAACCCAATTTTGGAGGCACTTAATGAGCTACCCGACACAACAATTCAACAACCAGTCCGGATGCTACCCCCACTTTTTCCTGAACCGCCCCTAAGGCATTTGAATCCTCTTGCCCCAGTTCACCACCGCCCTTATGCAATGTTCCAGGACCCAGCTCACCATCCATCGTCGGCCTTGATGTTCTCAGAAGCTACGCTGGACGACCCACTGAACGGTACCATCCATCTACGCGACCTACCGCTTTGCATCGAAATCAGCACCACTATTGCAGCTTTCTGTCTCAACTTTCTCGCCGCTCCACCGGAAGTGCATCACATTCGCGACATCACGTCATCCGACATGAAGCCTATATCGCGCCACATCACTCTCAGACACCAGATGCCAAGTCCTAACTCCCCTCTGTATTCCCGCGACGACAAGTTCTACCTACTCGGCATGATTCACACTCTGAACCGCGCTACCAACTTGCTAACCCAGCATTTCACAGACGAACAACGCTCCCTTTTGACCTTCGGCATCCCGGATAAATACTACGACATCACCCGCGACTTCTACGAAAACCCTCCCTACTGCCCGATGGAAACGACATGTGCTGTCGGACTCATCTACGCGCTCCGACTCTACTACATAACCCACCACCGCCACAGCACCTACCACCGACACGGTTTTCGTCAACACGACCTCTACCCGAAACATTTGTTCCAGATCGCAAAAGATATCAAGTCTACCGCCGCCGCTCTAAG